TGCATACATAAAGTCCTTCGGTTGATCTCTTACCCCCTCCCCCTCCAACACTTCCCAGCCTTCCCACTGTAATTTGACAGTCTGTTCAATGCTTCTCTGCCCTAAACTATTTTTTTCTAGGCCAATGTCAAATCCTTTCATCTTTCAGTCCCATTGATGTAGTTATTTTTGCAGGTTCAATGATAACTCACATATCATTCAATTCACCCATTTAAAGTGTACAATTCAATGGCTTTTAATATATTCAGACTTGTGTAACCATCACCATAATACATTTCAGAACATTTCCACTACCCCAACCAGAAACCCTGCACCTATTTAGCAGTCACGCTTCACTCCATGCCCTCCTTCACCTCCACCCCAGTCCCAGATACAATCTACTTTTTGTCTCCGTAGATTGGCCTATTCTGGACATTTCATAGAAATAGAATCCTAAAATATACTAGGGGCGCAGTGCACGAATTCGTGCACCTTGAAAGGAACTGTGGTCCACGAGGCTGCAGCCGGCACAGGGGCGGGTATCAGCCCATCCTCCGCGCCCTCGCCCAGCCCCTCCCACCCAGGTCCCGTCTGCCAACAGCCACACTCCCACCGCCACACACTGACAGCACCGGCCCCGCTTGCACCCACTGATGGCACAGAGTGATTGGGGCTGGTGCCAGCAGTGGGTGCGAGCGGCAGCTGCTGCCTCGATCACCCCTCAGGAGCAGGGGGAGGTGGAGAAGCCCTCAGGGGTGAACAGGGCCAGCAGCCGCTGCCTGCACCCACTGATGGTGCCAAGTGATCAGGACCAGCGCCAAGCACTGGCAGCGAGTGTGAGTGGCTGCTCCAGCGCTAGCTACGGGTGTGAGCAAGGCTGGCGCTGGCAGTGGGTGCAAGTGGCGGCTCCGGTGCCAGCAGCGGGTGCAAGCGCCGGGGGGGACCGTGGCACACAGGAGCAAAGAATTTTCAGTAACCAACAGAGGCTCGCCCCAATGACAGCAACTGGTGCCCTGCCTTGGTCTGGTGCCCTCGCTCACCTGCTCTACCATCCCACCGTGGCCAACGCCTGCCATGTTCCGCACATGCCCCCTGGTGGTCAGCTCATGTCATAGCAACCGATTGTTCAGTTGTCCTGCCGTTCAGTCTATTTGCATATTAGCCTTTTATTATATAGGATGATCCTCTGTGATTTGTTTCTTCTATTGTAGCAATTTTGAGGTTCATCCATGTTGCAGCATGTATCAGTATTTTATTCTTTTTTTATTGCTGAATTAGAGGCCCGGTGCACAGATTCGTGCACATTGAAAGGAAATTAATTAGAAGGTGGCTGGCAGGGTGGGACTGGGCAAGATGGGCCAGACATGCACTGGAGCCAACTTCCCATGGTCCCTCCCTGGCCGGCCGCACCTGGGGCAGTGCCAGAACTCAAAGGCCATCTGTGGAGTGAGCGGGGTCCCTCTGGCAGGTGGGGTCCCTCAGCCTGGCCTATGGGGATTAGGCCAAAACCGGCAGTCCGACATCCCCCGAGGGGTCCCGGAGTGCAGGAGGGCACTCTGCAAAGTTGCTGTCACTTGGCAGCTCCTGTGTTGAGCGTCTTCCCCCTGGTGGTCATTGCACATCATAGCTACTGGTCGGACAGTCACTTGGGCTTTTATATACGTAGATAATATTCCATTGTACAGACATACCACATTTAATTTATCCAACCACCAGTTAATTGGCATTTGGGTTGCATCCACATTTTGACTACCATGAATAATACTGCTATTAAGGTTTGTTTAAATTTTTTGGTATGGATATATGTTTTCAATTACCTTAGTATCTATCCCCCACCCCCACCCCCCTCAAAAAAGAGATATGTTGAAGTCCTAACCTCCAATACCTCGGTAAGTGACCTTATTTAGAAATAGGTTTTTTATAGAGGTAACCAAGTTAAAATGAGGCCAATGGGGTAGGCACTAGTCCAATATTACTGATGTAAGGACAAAAGGGGGAAATTTGGACAAGAATCAGAGATATACACAGAGAGAAAGCCAAGTGAAGACAGGGGTTTGCAGTGATAGATCTACAAACCAAGGAACAGATTTGTAGATTTCCAGCAATCACCAGAAGGTACAAGAGGCATGAAAGGATTCTTTCCTAAAGCCACTAGGAGAGAGCATGACCCTGCCAACATCTTTATTTAGGACTTCTAGTCCCTCAAGCTATGAGAAAATTACTATCTGTTGCTTTAAGTAATCTAGTTTTTGGTATTTTGTTACATTAGCACTAGGAAACTAAAACAGATATATACCTAGGAGTGGAATTGCTGGATCATATGGTAACTCTATATTTAACCTGTCAGAGAACTGCCAGATTGTTTTCCAAAACAGCTATACCATTTAATTGTTTCTCAATAAATTATTAATGGTTTCAAAACCTCTCTTAAATATATAAAGTAAACTTTTCTGTGTGTAAGCTTGCCTTCCACAGGTAATTCTCCCTCATTCCCCACCATGGTGACAGTTTTCTTTGGCACCATTTGTTAAACCATCTGACTTCCTTCAAAAAAGAACAGTAACAAATAGTTAAATCATCAATGCACTAATAGGAGGAGCACTAGAATGAGCTATGGTTGGGCTACAGAATAATCTTAAAGACATCTAAACCTGAAGAGAGGAGAGTAGATGATACTAAATGGCAGGGTTTTGTTTTTAAAGGGAGGATTTCCTAGCTAAGA